CGAAACTTGACAATTTGATTGCACAAATACTAAAAAACAGTGTATTGGGAATGGAACCCAAAGACTAAATTTTCCCCTTTTTGAATATACCCCACAGTTGGGCTGTTTTTTTTCTTGGAAAGTTCAGACGATTTTGGCTATTGAACATATTTTGAATATTTTATAGTTCCAAAATTAGATCTTTGTGGAATTTTGGTAAGTTATTGCTTGATCGTAATAGACAAAAATAGGTCAAGATCTTTGTCGTTCAATTACACTTCACAATTTAAAGTCACAAACAATAAACAATTATCAGCTTTTTTATAATGCATTAAAATGCTTAAATATCCAACTTTACGCTCCAAATACATGCAAGTTTAACTTTCACATTTACAATAAATGTTAAGTAAATAAATATAAAAAATGATTAAACTAAAATCACCCAAACTGTTCTAACATGCAGAATTGCTTAAACATGACGCTGTTTTTTTTAACGAAAGTGAAGATGGCTGTAAATTTTAGCTGATAGACCCTAGGTTCTCTCAGCTAAGCATCCATAGCCTTCAAATTGCATTCCTTTTTGTTCCATGGTTGTATATGACAAGTAGTACAAGTTTAGTCCCACACCAAGGTCACTGTTTTTTTTTGATGACTTAACCGAAATAAAAAATCCCTAATGGAAAAACCTGAACGGTATAAACCAAAACCGAACACAACGGCACGAGAATTTGGAGAATACTGAAGAGGAAAAAACCATTAGGGATTTCAGCCGAAGTTCCGCGCCCCGGGGGACCATTAGACATAAAAATCTTTACTTACCTTTGTAACGATGCAATTCCAAAAATCTTTCAAGTATTTTAGTTATGTATATAATTCGCCATTTTTAAAGTACATACAACGTACGTACAAACCGCCACATTTTAGTTTTACCGCACGTAAACCGATCAGCGAACTCGACAATTTCCTACTTTGGACGAGAAAATTGTGTAATTTGGATGGGAATTTCTTTTAACGTGTGTTTTTCTTATCTAATCCACATCCGAATCAGTCGCACCTAGCGCCACCTTAGCAGTCCCTATTTTGCACCGTTTCATTCAGTGCTTTGCGCGCCCGGTGCCACTAACGCTTAAAGTTGGAGCAAGCGCTTGCTGCATGACATGGATTAGATAAATGTACTTCAAAATATTTTAAGCAGACAGACGAAATTTAATATTTTTTGAAACAATTTAGAACACTTGAAGAAGCACACGTTGAGTTTGGTTACCGAGGGACCGTGGATGGTTTAACCAAACAACCGGCAGCGCTTGATTTAAGTTATGTTTTAGTTTGACAATTATCACATAGATGACTACATAGCAACGCGAATGGTGAACATGGAAACCATCGTGTAACTATTTTGTATCATATGTGACAACGTCTGCGGTTTGTCTTCATGGTAACCATCAAAGAAAACAAACAATGTGCTTTTATTAAAACTATGTTTTGTGTTAGTTTGGTTAATATGAAGCCATTCCGCATACTTATACCTGGTGTACTAAACATATTTTTATGCCTGTTTTTGCTGTGGCTTGCCGCATCGAAATTCTCAAGAATGAAGTTTTTTTAATAAGAAAACAACATATCCATTTTTACATTTACAGTAATTGCCACGCCGCTCCTAAACTGTAAATGTCTTGACAAACTGAAGACTATTTGAGTTTCAATTTGTCGATTTGAAAATGACAGACAAGATTAAAGTTTCCTTCAAAAGATTTTGAAAAATTTAGTCATTTCTCTTGATAGTGGAGTTCATCCTTTAAATTTATAAAGGTTGTAACCCCATACTCATTATCTAAGCGTAGCAACTACTCGCTGCAATTACAGCGCATGCCTAAGCTATCTAAACTTCCTACCTGCGCATGGCACCGGAATTCCGCCCTGCAAAGGAATGCCCCGTTAAGGAGGTAACCCATCATGCCCTTAACTTAACTTAACCCAATGCATGTTGCACCTACGGGCGACCTCCAACCGGGGTGGGTTGAACTACTCATGCATAATAGGGGATCCATGCAGGAGTGCCTTAATAGTCAATGTAGAAAGCCGTTCATGAAATTGGCCAACTACAACGACTGCATGCTCTTACCGTACTAGGGGAGAGATATTTTTCTTTCCACCAAAACCACAATCTTCCCTTGGTCTTCAATAGGCCTTGCTCGCTTGATCCAGTCTTCAAAGGTCTTCTTACAGATGCTATTTGCATCCTCTACGCTAAGGTACCATTTGTACCCACTAACCCCAAGTTGAAGTTGCCTTCCTTGGGCCAAACTTCACTTGCATTTCCGATTCTAAGCTATGGTCCTGCCTATCCTTCTGCGAGGCAACAACCGCTGCGATCATGCGTAGCTCCTTAAAGCAGTATATTCACACAGAGGTTTTCGAAGGTAAATTATATAGAACAACACAATTGTTGCATGCCAGTCACAGACTTGAAATAGTTGATACAAATTCACGCTTACTAAGACACAAATTTTAAAAGAATTAAAGCAGCACCGATAAACACTATTGGATTATTTTAACCAAAAGAACACTTTTATTACCTCTTAATCAAGACTATTTTTGAAAATGCAGATGTAAATTTCTTTAAATATATTTATTTGCATTCCTGCATTAAAAAAATAGCCTTACAGTGGAATATACTGAACACCAGGATTTGTTGTGGCTATTGCCCGAATTATATTAGAGATTTGACCTGTTAACAGGCCTAACTAAATAAAAGGTTTATTATTATTACACTTACGGTTTTCGACGAATCCTTGGCAGTTCGACGACAGACTACGATGAATGACAAATCTCATGCCAATTGTGAAGATGAAACGATCGGATGTTGAGCAAGGACAGCCACAAAAGCCCAAAATAATTTTTGAAAATTCAGAACGTTGATGGTGAAACCATCGTATCCAATTTTCAGGCTACCTGACAAACATCACCGCTTTTATGTCGACGACGGCAAGCACAGAAACAAGATTGGCCATTTCTTGCAACTGTGCATGTCGTCTACGGCATTAAATCGGAAATATCGACAGCCAGTCGGAAAATTAGGATTTTTAGGTTTTTCATTTTCATGCTAAAGAAATTCCATGTTTTTATTACAAAAATTTTCAATTAAATAATGTTGACATTTGGGCATTTAATAGCGGCGTGGTTTTCTCCATCATTGCGATTGATTGACCAGTCGTGATGTTAGCAGGAAAACTCCCAGGAAAATGTTTTAGAAAAGGTCATAATATTGACTTTTCCATGGAAACAGGCGTTGGGCTGATGGATGCATTGCTCCAGAATAGTGTTTAGCGTTTGCATTCTTTGTAGAGATGGTCTTTAGGGCATTAGAAGTCACGTATTTTTCAATTTCATCAAAGTATATTGTTCATTCTTGATCATTATTCAGAAGAGTTCATTAAAATATATTGTTCATCTTTATCATTCTTCAGAGGACTCGTTAAAGTATGCTGTTCATTCTTGATCATTCTTCAGAGGTCTTCATTAAAGTAAATTGTTCATTCTTAATCATTCTTCAGAGGACTTCATTAAAGTATGCTGTTCATTCTTGATCATTGTTCAGAGGTCTTCATTAAAGTAAATTTTTCATTCATGATCATTGTTCAGAGGACTTCATTAAAGTATGCTGTTTATTCTTGATCATTGTTCAGAGGATTTCCTTAAAGTACGTATATTGTCCATTCTTGACCAGAAGGTTTCTACATAGGACAATTGAAGCCAATGTCAGTTCACACTACTATACTTCCATAAATGAAAAACATTGATAACATACTTACATTGAACATTTTATTCACTAGTAATGTCGTTCAAGGGAAGAAGAATTTCAACCAAATTTATGGGAAGGGCACACTGCACTTTACATTAATGAACATCACATGCAGTGTCCCAATTCAATGTTTACTCAATGCAAAAGAACTTGAAACAACACATTTACCTGAACATTTTTTCAAAGCACTCCAAGAGATATTTCACCTTGGAATAATTTCGACTTCGGCTAACTATTCTTCGTGTAACTACAGACTTTCACGTTCAAATGGTACGTTCTTAGTCTTAGACTATGGCCCAAGTTTCACGAACGTCTTGTATTCTGATTGGTCAGTGACTAGGCGTATGGTAAACGTGTTGTGTTCTGATTAGTCATTTACTAGGTGTGTCGTACACTGTTGTGTTCTGATTGGTTATTTACCAGGTGTGTCGTCAATTGTACATTGTGAAATTTAGAATTTGCATGATTCATCACTTAGAAGTAATTAATCCCCATAGAACGATAAATGCAATTTAATACAATATAAATAAAAACGTATACTTCAGCTACAGCAAATAGCAAATCCCAAACATTTAAGTCTTCTTGGGGAACAACTACAGCTGAATCATGCAAATTCTAAAGGTCCACTGATGTCAAAAATGATTTGATAAACCCTCTAGATTGTTCTCTTCATCTCATTTTCTTATTGTATTAATTAGCATAAACATTTGATCTCTTTTATTTAGCATTCTACAGGGTGTACATAAAAACGACGTTTTGCAATTAAACTACTGTAAAATTTCGAAACCCAATCACTGTGCTAACCTCACTAGTGCATTACATTTTCAATGGAGGAAAATCTTTTGTGCTTGCATCAACGTAGCTAACAATGTTCCATGCACCTGTGGGCTTGACGTAGTGACAAACATTGAAATTATACAAAGGTCTTCAATGGTAAATGAAGGCTGACCAACTAGTTTTGCACAAATCAAAGGAATGAACCGGATAGAAAAATATAATTACAATGTATTTTTTAAATTTTATTATTCAACTATCAGCCGGCATTATATGTTGTCCCTTTTAAAGAATTTTCAATCTCCATGGGACAATGTGAAAGTGTGTAAAATGAAAGACTATAGTGTTTGGTGTGAAAGTGTGTGAAAATGCAAAGACTATAGTCAACGGCAATATAAGCAGTTGATTACTTTCATAAACTTACCTTTAGTTTTAGGGACTATTTATATGAGCCCGATAGCCGGGATTCAGCGAACGAACATGTAACATGTAACATGTTCTTACACAAACTTTCGGCAGTTATTTCAGTAAACAGTAAAGATACAAACGATGGACAAAAAAGCAGTTAATATTGGAGGCAACAATTCGCCAAGAGAAACCCGACCTTGTGCAACGAAAATTTCCGCAATGCCATTCTGTAACGGTCGTCATTTCGTTAACGTCTTTTCTGACTTCTTGAACGACTTTTTCAAAGAGCTTAGCAAAAAATAGTCATGTATTTAACGTAAAGATCTTTGAAAAACCAGCAATTGTCAAAACTCTGGTAAAAAACCCACCATGTACAACAAAAATTTCGGCAATGCCATGCTTCTTCGTCAACATCTTTCCGACTTCTAGAAAGACTTTTCCCGACAGCTTCAAAAAATGAATGAGGAATGAAGTATAAAGTTTGACTGGGGAAGAAGCAGCTGATATTTTAGGGTAAAACTGATATAAATTTTTGTAAAAAAAAACGTAACTTTTCAACGGCCATTTTCGTTTTATCGAGTTTGGAAACGACTTTTAGCAACAGCTTCAAAGAAAGAATCATGTATTCAACAGGTTTAACTTGTTGTGATGTTATAAAATATGTGAAAATGGATTTGCAAGGCGGAAAGCGAATTCTTAGTATAAATATAATCGCCCATCATAAAACTTTTAATATGGCCATGGGTATATAATTTTATCAACAATAACGTTTCGTCTTTAGCTGAAGACATCTTCATATTACAATACATACATGTAGGAAGTAGTAAATCCTATTCTTAGAAATTTTGTACAATACTTACAATAACGACTGTATGCGTTACGCTTCTTCTCTGAAATAAAAACGTTATATTACTCACTGTAATACTTTGAAACTTACAAATGAAATATTTTACGTAATACTTACGAGAAAGATTGTTTCAGCAAGAAATCTCTATGACGTATTGATCAAAATTGGTCACGTGTCAAGTCGTATAAGCATTCGCCAGCAAGAGCTGGGTGACGCGGGATATGTAAATTGATCAAATCGTGCTGAGATAGCACAACATTTAATAGCATAGTACGTTTCGTGTGATGTATTTAATATACGATTGTTTTCATTTCAAGTTAAATATTATGTTTTAACTTGTTAAAACCCAGTATGATGTACTATTATATAGTAGCAAATACTGACAAATTATATCTGTATACAACACATACAATAAAGAGTCGTTGAAGTTGATGCATCAGGAAATTCTTCTACTTTGTAGACATATTATATTTATATATACTGAACTATACGTATGTTATATATATACAATATAACTTATACAATTTCTATGCTCTGTTTTTTTTGACAGACATCCTACAAGTTTTACCTTTTAACCATTATGTGTAGAAGGAACAGTTTGTTTTGTCGTTGTCGTCGTTGAAACAGATGATACCGTTGAAGTTTGCCTGTAAAATATTTGCTGAAAGTTTAGAGAAAAATTGATAAACTATTCATGAAATAATAGGTAGTAGCATTTTGATTTTCTTTTTAAAACAAGCCAAAGTTTGAGTTCTTTGTGTTGTATTATTACGAAATAAAAGATTTTACTGCGTTTGCACGGGCTTATGCAAAACGAGGAGATCTTTGGGAGAACTCGAGAGCAGATCAGTGCAAGCCCAAAACCGAAGTTAGAGTGTTGCATATGCTCAAGAGTTCTCACAAACGTCTCCGAGGTTTGCATAAGCCAGTGCAAACACGAAAAATATCTTTTTAAAAAATATCAATAATGCTAAACAGACAAATTTAAAATAAACTTTTTAATTTTTCTTCTAAAATGTATTCATGATTGATTTGCGAATTCTCTTTGATTGATTTGATTTGTTGAGCTCAGATCGGTTTGCACAAGCTAATGAAAACACAGCTATAGACCAATCAGCGCATGCGCTTGATTGCTTTTTGTTCTTATTTTGACTTTCAATTTTTTCTGTCTATTCTTGCCTTACAAACATTAACACTAAAAAATCGTTTAATATTCTGTATATTGAACAATAAATGACACTCATACATGTTCACGTGTTTACTCACATGAAAAAGATCACGTGTTTACTCACATGAAAAAGATCACGTGTTTACTCACATGAAAAGATCACGTGTTTACTCACATGAAAAATGGAAAGTATTTGAACAAAGAACTCTTGCAAGGATTTTCACCTAACTCTGGAACAGCACCCAGACTATAATTGATCAATTTTCTCAAGTAATTTTCCAATTGTTTTCGACGTGTTTCCACAAAATTGACGTCACGATTTCCAATAATTTTCTTCGCGGGAAACGTGAATTGTGCAACAGGTTTAAACTGCTTGCTTGTCTGTGCATAAAAAGGAAAAGGAAGGGATTGTACATTACGGCAAAACAATATGATTAAAAAAATTAAAATACTGATGTTTATTAAAAACCTTTTTATGTAGGGCATAAAAATCCGAGTATCTTTTGTAAACATTTCATTCATCGTCTTTGATACGGATATAAACCTTGTGAAGTAAACAATGTTAAATTCTTTATTGACGACAATAAATGAACCACTGAGCAGATGATATATATATGTATATATAAATGACCACTGTGGTGACTCTACAATACAATCCATACAATGTGTAACCGTACGTCCTGTGTCCCAAGTGCAGGAGTCACCATTTTAATATGGTGATAGCCGGGAGGGCACATTGTATATACACTTTGTATATATATAACAGTATAAAACAGTATAAATCCGTATAAAACAGTGCTCGATGCCCGAGAGCAGAGCGTAAATATGTTTAGTGGTGTTGAGAAAAAATCACAAAATTACAGATTCATCCCGACAAGCCTGTTTCGTGATTAAAGGAAAATCCCTGAAGAGTGAGCAGTCACGAAACAGGCTTGTCGGGATGAATCTGTAGTTTTGTGATTTTTTCTCAACACCACTAAACATATACATATGAAAAGTGAAATATTTGAGCAGTAAATTTAAACTACGACATGATCTTTTAAATACGATGACCACAAACACTTTTCTCAAGGGTGATGTATTTGAAACGAGGAAAATACCAAATATAGATCATAAATCTTGAAATATAGTCCCTAGTTATCCCTAACCTAGTCCAGATAACCATCAACATCACATCGGAAGAGTTATTTACTTTCTTTAGAGATAAATATATGGAAAAATTATACCTGATAAGAATGGTGAATGTTTGGAGACTTTCCTTGTACAAAAACAGATGGAATCCAAATGTTAATTAAAGGACGAGTATTGACAGACATGAAATTTGGACCAAACTCCGTCAAATATAAACATTCATCATGATTATTGTCCTGAGGAAGCTAGAACATACGAACATACGTAGTTTTATTAAGAAATATTTAGAAAATCAAAAGAATATTTACTGCTTTTCATATTCATACCAAACAGTTCATATTGTACATACCGATCAATATTGTACATCTATTGTACTATAATGAACACACGGGTCTTTACTGAACATACCGGTCCTCTAAGATTGACAAGCTCTTCTTTTAATATTCTTAGCTGATATTCACGAACATTCAACATTTTTTGTAGTCTTTCATTGAGTTCAATAAGTTCGCCATGCATATCAGCGACCTTTAAACATGATAAACAACATTTCATCACAACTTACGCCATGACGTCATCACCATGAAATTCCACAGGGATGAAAAAGAAACGCGAAATCAGTCAGAGTGGCGAGTTTTTTAAACATATATCACGATTTCATTTCAGTTATTGATCCTCAGTTTTCATAAGTTAAAATATCTTCTGGTATTACATATTTCTTAAAGTCATCGTGTGCATCGTATAAAAGAGTTTTCTATCAAATAAATTTCGGCTCATCTTCATGCAACATATGATACCTGAAGACCTTTTAAGGCAAATGTTTCGTTTTGTAAAAGTATTATGGCTTAATGGAAATCTTACTTGGATCAACTTCCGCTCAAAATCTTTGTTTTCTTCCTTTCTACAAGAAAAGGAACGAAATTCAACGCCGTTGATTCACTTTTGCTACAAATTTACTGTAAATACCTCACTTCGTCGACGTCAGATTCCGGAGAAAGAATGATAGAAGAAAGTCTTTCATTTTCTGGAGCTACACAAAAGATTATCGAATATCTTAGATTTCTACATCTATTTTAAAGATAAACTATCCCTCTAATAAACCTTCTTCCATAATGTCATTTCTTTTCAACGATTGAACAGCACCCACGTATTTCTTTAGTTGGTGTTTGAGCAAATCATTTTCACTAAAGAGCAAAAACGAACAGGTCAACAGACATCTTTGATTAACGGAAATGCAGAGTTCTCAATGTCCTAACCTTTTTAAGCCGTTAAGAGCGACGCAATTTTCTTCATTTTTCGACGACATATCTCTTTTAAATCTTCTAATTGAAGACGAAGAGAAGCTGACTTCATCATCTCTTTTCCAAATGTTGTTGTAACGATCTACAGGAAAGATGATCGAAGGAAAAATCAGGGCAAAATAGTGTATATTCGAATGGAATGTTAATATTAAACGAAGGACGATAGTACAACCTGTTACGTTCTTCAACTTCATCTTTTCTTAACATCATCGATACAATCGCCTGTTTTAATTCCTCTTCAACAATAAAAAACCACGTATTTATTGATATTCATGAAATTATAATTATTCACACATACAATGATTCAGTTCACATGATGAAATTTGACGGATGTCTCCAAACAAGCAAAGCAACTACGTTACAAATAGTAAAATCCAATTGCACTAAATATTTCTATATTTAAAACTAACTCTACCTGCTAACAGGCCATTTATAGTTTGAGAACCAGAGGCAAAAGTGCCTCTCCCGTTCCCAAAACATTTTTCCAAAAGATATAAGAAATAAAAACCATTTAAATACATGAATAGAAAAAAAACACACAAACCTGAAGTCATTTCTTTGCCTGATGGATATCCCTCTGATGGCTAAAGAACGAAAACATACCAAATATAACGAACTAAATATAACAAAGATATTTACAAATGGCTTTCTACCCTACCCTCCCCCCCTTAAAAAAGATAAAAGCATTTCATAATTAACTAACATTCATACAACCATCACCCATGGTTCTGACCAATGACGATCCTGAGTAATCATTAATTTCTATGCTACCATCACGTGTGGCACATATCGCTGCAACAGTTGCTCCAATTGCTAAATTTGCATCATTCTCGACGTCTTCATCAGTGTAAATACTGAAAACAACATAAATTACCACCTCAGTTAAAATGGTAAACTCGTTAGACATTCTTGTCGATAAAATAATGAAGTATCTTCTAACCTTGAAACGGGCGAATCATTTATTGAATGAACTAAATGTCGCGACGTCTCAGGTGCAACAGTAAATCACTCATTTTCATCTGACATAGCTAGACCCCTAACTCCTTTATTGTCATCGGGGCAAACTACGGGAATTAAAGATACACCGCTGTTCATATCAACAAGAGGCTCACATACTTCTTCCTCCGACAAGAGCGACGAGTCAGTGTAATGCCCTGATTGCAAAGATGTTGTCAAAGAATGATTTTTTTTCAAATCATTCGCAGTTTTAAACTCGTTTTTAAGATGCAGAACTTCCAGGCTTTTCTTTGTTAATCGAGCCACTTGTTCATCTGTTTCATTCTCCTTGTTCTCAACGTTGGTTTTCGCCATTGTGGAAGAAAGACTTGAATTCTCAGAATTTGAACAATAAGCCAACTGAGAGTTCTTTGGCATTTCAAGAAAATCGTCAGGCCTTTTAGTGAAAGCATGGTTACCACGAGCATGTACCTGAGAATCAGTATTACGTTGTAATATGTCGTATGCCGCTCGGGTAAAACTCGTGGCACTATCGTCAGCAGTCGTTGTCGTGGAAGAACTACCATGAGAACTGACAGTAGTAGTTCCTTCTTCCGTCTCTTTGAATTCAACATTTTCAATTTGAGCAATGTTTGCTTTCTTTTTTTTACGTTTTTTCTTTTCTTTTCCTGAAACACAAAAGAAAGATAAAAGTTACAAATTAATAAAGACGCGAGGATAAATGACTACGCATTGTTCAAGTATGATAAAGAATAAACGAGGACGCGCGGTTAAGGGATGATAAGGGATGAATGAACAACAGGTATAGTTAAGGGATAAATGAAGACATGTAATAATGGGATAATAAAGGTTAAGGAGAACACATGGTTGGGGGATTACAACGAATAAATGACATGTGTGGTTAAGGAATGATAAGATTAGCGATATATGAGATGAATGGTAGGGATAATTAAGGATGAAAGGGATATTTTTGATCAGGGGAGAAAAACGAAATTCCGATCAAATCTTTATTTTCTTAAAATGTTGTATTTCACAAACTTCACCAGGAGCTCCTGACGTCGCATACATTGGTGATGGTACAGCCCATATTGATGTTGGACGAGAAACTGCTTGGCTGATATTGCCCGGAATCTAAAAATTAAATTAAATTCAAGTAGTTAAAGAAAAGTACATTCATAGCTTCCACTTTTTTACTATCCATTTCTATTTGCAAAGATTCATTTTTAAGCAATATCAATAGCATTCCAGCATACCTGTACAGTAATAGTGTTAAACTCAGCTTTGTCAATGTCAATTGCAAAAAGAATTGAACTTAAGCCTTAAAGAAGAAAAACGGAATGATAAAAAATCCATTATAGAAATATAAACGAGTTTATTCTTACCAGCTGCCATCATTGGTAACATACTAGATCGTTCATCATCCAATAATAATGCATCTTGCTCATAATACTGACTGAAATTAAAACAATTACACATCGTATAATTATTCTGACATCAACAACTTACCGTTAAAAGAAAATTGCATTACTATATCGCATTATACATTGGTTATGATAATCATATAGCTTATCAAGCCAAGATTGATCTTTCTCTCTTAAATGTTACTTAAATCAAACTTACAAAAGCAATTGTTTATGCCCAATGAAGCTATGAAGATATTTCTCCAGTGATTGCAAGAATTATATGTCTTTATTTCACTAGAGCTAAGATGTTCCTTGATAAATAGCCAGAACACAGATTGACCTTCAGACCTCATTAACACCTGCCTTTAATGAACATAGTAATGATGAAAACAAATTATTTAAGAATGGCTTTTAAATTGACTGAATTTAGAGAGGAATCATAATGATACCTTAAAGAATTTATCTTTTTTGTGGATTTAATGCCAAATTGAAGAACAATGTTCGATTCCATTGCTCACAAAGACAAGAGATTCTGTAATTCATGATAAATACAAAGATTATGATAAATAAGGATTATACAATGAAATAAAATGAATACAATACAATGCAATCGAAGAAATATCAAGTTCACCTGCTATCCTTCTCAGAAGCCAATTCGGTTGTACTACCAAATCGTACCTGACACTAAAGAAATGACGAGGTTCAAGTCGACCAAATCATTCGAGTAAAATCAATACAATAAAAGACGAAACGAAATTACAAGTTCCAAGTTCGAACTTTAAACTACGTACAAATATTTTAAAACTAACTTGCTTTACTCCATCCAACAAGCGATCAATAATTGCTTGCTTTGTAATATCTACACTTGCCAAATTCAACATAATCTCCACTGAACTAACATGTTAAAAAATAGTTTTATTTGTCGGACAATTAGAAAAATAATTAAAAATAATTAGATATTAACAAAGTATGTATATACGAGTACCTTATGATCGCTTGATATCACCACATATCAACACTCACCACCCATGCTAGCATCAAGAAAGTTCGGAGTAAATACAAAGTTTTTTCTACATGTAAAAAATATCCACGATACACGACAGTATTATTGAAGCAGTTCACAAAAGAAGACAAATCAAGGAAATTTACCAATATGGGAAACGGAAATGATGTAAATGAAATATTTGAGGCAAATGGCAGGACGTCACAAAGAGAGGGGGAACATTGGGGGTGGTGATGAGAGAGTACACACTGAGCGTCATAAATGACAACCCCAGGGCCCACCATAATACCTCGGCAAACGAATGCATGAAAAACATGACACATGCAGTAATTTCTTAAAGTTATTTGCTGAGATAAATCAACGCTAGTAAAAAATGTTTCATCGAATTCTTTTATCAAAAACCACGAACAAAGATTCCAAATTCTAAAAAACGTATCATAAATTGGAAAAATCAAAAGTTTTTTAAATTCTTTTGTCGAATTTTACTTATTGAACATCACAGAAGTAAAAAATAAAATGTTAACAAATCACAAAATTTGTCAGACTAAACTATGAGTATATTGTTTTATAGTTAGTTCATGGTGAATGCTGTATGGTTAGTTCATGGTGAATGCTGTATGGTTAGTTCATGGTGAATGCTGTATGGCTAGTTCATGGTGAATGCTGTATGGTTAGTTCCTGGTCAATGCTGTATGGTTAGTTCATGGTCAATACTCTATTACAACTAACAAAATTCTGTTAAACCAAATATCACATGACGTCATTGATTGTAATTACGTGTTTGTAGATGTAAATCGTCCAGGTCAGAGTAGAGTCGTGAGGAATGTTGATATTAACTGTCTCTAGATAGATGCTCTACAAAGATGTCATTAATGTTTTATAATACCGTTTGTTGAAAGAGATCCTTAGTCACTCTTCATCTTCGTTATTTAAATGTGTTTATGTAACAAAACTTACATGGATAAAAGATTGATGTTACTATAAGGCATGAACTATGATCACCATTTTTAAGTAATATGTATGTGGTCACGTTGTTTTTATTAAATCTCTCATCTGTTTGTTAAGTATGTGACATGTAAAGAAGTAAAGCAAGCATGATTTTGTTCACACGGTCGTCATATATGAAGTCTTATTTCTAAAACGTAGGTAATTTGTCGAAAGTAAAGCGAGTTTCTGAAACTATATTACTAACTTTACATAACAATTTCGCTATTGAAGGATCTCGATAATGTATGACTAAACATGCATGACTAAACATGCATGGGGTAAAGGAAAGCAAAACCTTTTCAAGAGTATGGGAGAGGTGAAATAGAATACTTGTCTATGGATAAAAGGGGGATATGTAAAAATTTATAAAAGGGAGGGGCACATGTTCAATTATGCATCACCTCCCTTCTTTGCTGACGCCACTTTTGACTAATCTTTGTGTGTCTAGCAAAATTTTCATAGTTGTATACGACAAACCATTTCTTTTATAAGTAAGGAAATTTGAAAAATAAGCAAAAGTTAAACACAGGAAGAATGTATTTACACACAGAGGAAGAACGCGACCGAATCTATTTTTTGTGAAATGTTGATTCATGCAACAAAGTGAGCTTTTAGAATTATAGTTTAGATCATGTTTAACAGTTTTAAGGTTTACTTTCATTGCAACCTTTACTGTTGTATCCACAGTGTCTTTATTGGTCATAAGTAATTATAATTACGTGCAATTGATGTTTGCCACGTATTTATAATTTACAATGGGTTATTTAATAACAAAGGTTTTTTATAATAAGAACTGATTTATACAAGAATATACATGTATGGAATTTTTCATTAATGATGGAAAAAACTCCATTCACAGTTGCGAAAATCATGTCTTAATCATTGGCATTCAAATCTTGTCTTAGATAGATGATTCTCTATTCCTTAGTTAAAACTTGTGAAACTTTATAAGATTTAGCAGTAGTCCTTTGGAATTTGACTAATCTCAATGTTATTATGTACTCTGCATGAGGTTCTTATTTATGTGTTTTTATTTCTATAAAAATTGTTTATAGTCAGTGATGTATAATTAGTTATATAACTAGAATGTTCTACATAGGCGTCATTAATGTTTTATAATACTGTTTGTTGAAAGAGATACTGACTCACTCTTCATCTTCGTTCGCTATTTAAATGTGTTTATGTAACAAAACTTACATGGATAAAAGATTGATGTAACAATAAGTTATGAATTATGATCACCATTTTTAAACTGATATTTATGTGGTCGCGTTCTTTATATTAAATCTCTTATCTTTGTAAGGTATGTGACATGTAAGGAACTAAAGCAAGTATAATTTTGTTCACACGGTCGTCTTACTTTTGAAAGAAAGTAATTTTAGAAAAATTAAGCGATATTTTAGAAATACAGTAACGACATAACAAATTAGCTAAAGCGGCATCTCGATTAAGTATGACTAAACATGCATGAGAAATCATATCTAAATTGATTTACCAACTTTCTAACTATTGACAATAAGCTGCATGGTAAAGGAAAGCAAAACCTGTTCAAAGGTAGGAGAGGAAATAGCATACTTGTCTATGGATATAAAATCTGTGAAAATTTATGTAGGGGGATAGCATGTCCAATCATGCATCACCTCCATTTTTTGCCGACGCCACTTCTGACTAATCGCTGTGTGTCTAACAAAATGCTGTTAATTGTATTAAGCAAACCTTTCATTTTAAAAGTAAGAACATTTGTAATATAAGCAAATGTTGAACACAGGAAGAATATGTTTACACAGAGAAAGACGCAACCGAATCTATTTTTGGGAAATGTTCATTCATGCAACACAGTGAGCTTTTAGAATTATACTTTTGATCTTGTTTAACAGTTTTAAGGTTTACTTTCATTGCAACCTTCACTGTTGTATCCACAGTTTCTTTATTGATCATAAGTATTTATAATTGCGTGCAATTGATGATTGCCATGTATTCGTAATTTAAAATGGGTTATTTAATAACAAAGGATTTTTATAATAAGAACTGACTTTTGCAATAATATACATGTATGGAATTTTTCATTAATGAAGGAAAAAAATCCATTCACAGTTCCGAAAATCGTGCCTTAATCATTGGCATCTTGTTTTAGATAGACGATTCTCTATTCCTCAGTTAAAACTTGTGAAACTTTATAAGATTTAGCAGTAGTCATTTGGAATTTGAGTAATCTCAACGTTATTATGTACTCTGCATGAGGTTCTTATTGATGTATTTTTACTTCTATAACAATTGTTTTTAGTCAGTGATGTATACTTAGTTATATAACTAGAATGTTCTAAATAGGCGTCATTAATGTTTTATAATACTGTTTGTTGAAGGAGATCCTGACTCACTCTTCACCTTCGTTCACTATTTAAATGTGTTTGTGTCACAAAACTCACATGGATAAAAGATTGATGTAACAATAAGGTATGAATTATGACCACCATTTTTAAACTAATATGTATGTGGTCGCGTTCTTTATAATAAATCTCTCATCTTTTGTTAGGTATGTGACATGTAAAGAACTGAAGCAAGCTTAATTTGGACGACGAGGTCATCAGATATGAAGTCTTACTTCTACAACAAAGGTAATTTTACAAAAGTAAAGCGAGATTATATCCACATTACGGACCTAATAAATTAGCTAAGGAAACATCTAGATGAAGTATGCATAAACATGCATGAGAAATCATATCTAAATTGATATACGAACTTTTTAAGTATTGACCATAAGCTGCAGGGTAAGAAAAGCAGTAAAACCTGTTCAAAAGTATTGAGAGGAAGAATAGCATGATTGTATTTTCCACATGTAGGACGCTGAATTTTCTTTACTTACATTTGCATTCATCTCTAGTGGATACAGTTTCTGAAGAGGCCTGCTTATGTGCCGTGGCTTTCCCTTGCTAACAACTTTGACTTGCGCTCCTCAGACTATATTATCTTTTCCCTTGATCAATCTCTCAATTCTTGCTATTTTCAAAAATCCTCTTTTCAAACTTTCCTCAAACACAAGAACTACATCACCTACTTTCGGACACAAACTACCCTTTACTTTGCCAACCTTATGACACTCACTTATACTTGTTAAGTATTTCTTCCTCCACCTGGACCAAAAATGCTTTCTCAATCTCGCTAAATACCTAAACCTACGCCTGACCACTCCTGAATCTTCGTCATTAATAGTATGCATAATTCTTTTGTCTGGAAAAAATGTTAATCTTCTTCCAAACATAAGATGTGCAGAAGTTAGTACATCTACATCCACTTCATCTTCATATACATAAGTCAATGGTCTAGAGTTTAACGTACATTGTACCTCAACTAATGTTGTTAACAATTCTTCCTCGTTCATTTCACCAATGCTATCATTATCTCAAAAAATCCACCCCACCAGGGTGTCCTCACCAAATTAAACTTCCATATCAACAGATTTCCTTCCAAATATGATTTTGCTTCCTTAATTTCATAAATCCTCTTCAACGCTTTCTCAGTTGCTGTAAATGTTTTGGCGTTGTCCCAAATTATTAGCGAGGGTGCTCACATTCTAGCATTAAATCTTCGCATACAATTCAAAAAACAAAGTGCACTTAAACTATCAACTAAATCAAGACAAATTGTTCTTGTAACACAGCAGGAAAATAGTGCGATGTATACTTTTACCATCTGTCCACCTTCTTTTGCAAACAATGGACCAGCAAAATCTACTCCTACTTTAGAAAAGGGTGGTGAATACTGAACTCTAAAATCTGCTAAAAGCGCTTCTACAAATCCTGCAATTTCCTAACACCTTCTTCATGATCTGACTACTTTGTTTCTCAATATTTGCCTCGTAGCTGAACAAAGGTCGCTGTTACCCCACTATGATAAACCTTCCTGTGGCAATCTTCAATAATTAATTCGGTTAAGTGATGATCCTTAGGCAATAAAATTGGTTCTCTAGCTTCTAGCTTTAAATCTGACACTTCCAATGTTTTAGTCCTCTTTGTTCCGAGTTTAACTCTTGCCTTCAAATTGTCTACAAATCGCCCAATGATAGCTATGACCCTTATTAGTCTCTTTATATTACTAAATTTGCCAAATTTTATCACACAATCTTTATCTACCACCTGTGTGTTAGCCAATACTGTCTTCTCGACTTCCGCAAGACTTTCCTCTGTAGTTTTAACCTCTTTTGGCAATGGTTAATCACAATGGGGACCCGACAACCACTTCAGTCCCTTCCACTAAAGTTCACTTTCCTTTAATTGTGATGACGTAACTCCACTTGAACCTAAGTCCACAGGGTTGTCTACACCCGGACAATGTTTCCATTTATCTTTCGTGTTCAATCTTAAAATATCGTTAACTCTATGGCGCACAAACTGTTTCCATTCTCCCCTATTACCGATCCAGCACAATGCAGTCATACTGTCCAACCAATAGTATGTACCATTAAATTGAACGTAACCTTCTAAGGCGAAACTTCACGGTGTCCATCAACTGTGCTAATATTCCAGCTGACATCACTTCTAGTACGGGAGTTGTCTGCAATTTTATTGGCGCTATCCTTGTTTTCGGCGTAAGCAACTCTACGTGGTAGGCACCATTTAGCTCTGTCACAAAATATACGACCGCACAGTATGCCTTTTGGCTGGCATCTGCGTACCCATGCAAGTAACACTTTACCTTACCAAGTAAATTACCATAGACACATCTCGCCACAACTAAATCCCTGACTCTCTCTAAATCTTCTATCCATCTCTCGCAACGTTTTTTCTTGTCACCTTCCAGCTCATTATCGCATTCAGCTTTCTTAATACACAGCTCCAGAAACAATAACTTAGCACAAACGATAACAGGACTTATAATAACTAAGGGATCGAATAATCCTGCAAGTATACTTAGTATATTTCGTTTACTTGGAATGATTGCCTTTGCTCTTTCAGCCAATTTCCAGAGGCTAAATACAAAGCGATCCAACTTACACTCCCATCCCAATCCTAGTACTTTCTCAAAACTTCCACTGATACTATTTTCCCCAACTGATGCTTTAGCATAAGTTTGCTTATCAACCACTTTCGAATTATTAAATTCTGCCCTTCTTTCCTCTAAAATGCTTCTTTCTCTCTTTTCTATTTCTTTCAAAACATTCTCATCGTTACTAAGCCACTTCCTCAGCCTAAATCCTCCGCAGACAATCATTCACTTGCTGACTCATACAACCTCATTACTTTCTTCTTGGATTGTTCACCGGAAACTAGATCATCGACATAAAAGCTATCTGAGTTTTTAACAATTCCTGTCTATCTCTATGAATGAGTTATTGTCGTTTTTGCTTTTCGACCATTTTACTGCGTTTCCTGCTAATTTCATGTCTAATTCTTACAAAATCAGCATAGAAACAGGACATTGTTTAGTTTGAATCTAAAAAATTTTATTGATTTTATTGCTTTGCTCAGCTAAACGATATCGTCAAGGCAACAAGGGCATCAAGTACAGCAAACAAATACAGCATCGGCAAGGCATGACACAAGACGCTTTGAGACAATGTTTATCATTTACATTGCTATATAACTGGCAACAACTAGTGGGGGAACTCGTTCAAGTGAAAAAGCTTGTCAGAACAACACCAAAGCTTTTTCGCTTGCTGACCGCCAGTTTTTTTGGCTAGACTGCAGTTTAGCGGACACGCGCGCTTGTATGGGAGAGCGGGCTCGTTTTGGCATATGATTATATGGTAGGTTTGGGTCAGTGTCAAGGTGTCCGCTAAGCTGCAGTAGTCGGGCTGAAACACACTAGGCAGTCACAACACCTGCAAAACGGTGTAAATTAATAACAATTACACTTCTCATTTCTATAGTAGTTGATCTATCTGCACATGCTTCAGTAGTTTTTCTATCTACACATGCTTCAGTAGTTTTTCTATCTACACATGCTTCAAGAATTTTTCTATCTACACAAGCTTCAGTAGTTTTTCTATCTACACATGCTTCAGTAGTTTTTCTATCTACACATGCTTCAGTAGTTTTCTATCTACACATGCTTCAGTAGTTTTTCTATCTACACATGCTTCAGTAGTTTTCTATATACACATGCTTCAGTAGTTTTCTACCTACACATGCTTCAGTAGTTTTTCTATCTACACATGCTTCAGTAGTTTTTGTATCTACACATGTTTCAGTAGTTTTCTATCTACACATGCTTCAGTAGTTTTTCTATCTACACATGCTTCAGTAGTTTTTCTATCTACACATGCTTCAGTAGTTGATCTATCTACACATGCTTCAGTAGTTTTTCTATCTACACATGCTTCAGTAGTTTTTCTATCTACACATGCTTCAGTAGTTTTTCTATCTACACATTCTTCAGTAGTTGATCTATCTACAAATGCTTCAGTAGTTTTTCTATCTACACATGCTTCAGTAGTTGATCTATCTACACATGCTTCAGTAGTTTTTCTATCTACATGCTTCAGTAGTTGATCTATCTACACATGCTTTAGTAGTTTTTCTATCTACACATGCTTCAGTAGTTGATCTATCTACACATGCTTCAGTAGTTGATCTATCTACACATGCTTCAGTAGTTGATCTATCTACACATGCTTCAGTAGTTGATCTATCTACACATGCTTCAGTAGTTGATCTATCTACACATGCTTCAGTAGTTTTTCTATCTACACATGCTTCAGTAGTTTTCTATCTACACATGCTTCAGTAGTTGATCTATCTACATGCTTCAGTAGTTTTCTCTACACATGCTTCAGTAGTTTTTCTATCTACACATGCTTCAGTAGTTGATCTATCTACACATGCTTCAGTAGTTTTCTATCTACATGCTTCAGTAGTTGATCTATCTACACATGCTTTAGTAGTTTTTCTATCTACACATGCTTCAGTAGTTTTTCTTTCTACACATTCTTCAGTAGTTGATCTATCTACAAATGCTTCAGTAGTTTTTCTATCTACACATGCTTCAGTAGTTGATCTATCTACACATGCTTCAGTAGTTTTCTATCACATGCTTCAGTAGTTGATCTATCTACACATGCTTTAGTAGTTTTCTATCTACACATGCTTCAGTAGTTGATCTATCTACACATGCTTCAGTAGTTGATCTATCTACACATGCTTCAGTAGTTGATCTATCTACACATGCTTCAGTAGTTGATCTATCTACACATGCTTCAGTAGTTGATCTATCTACACATGCTTCAGTAGTTTTCTATCTACACATGCTTCAGTAGTTTTTCTATCTACACATGCTTCAGTAGTTGATCTATCTACACATGCTTCAGTAGTTTTCTATCTACACATGCTTCAGTAGTTTTTCTATCTACACATGCTTCAGTAGTTGATCTATCTACACATGCTTCAGTAGTTTTTCTATCTACATGCTTCAGTAGTTGATCTATCTACACATGCTTTAGTAGTTTTTCTATCTACACATGCTTCAGTAGTTGATCTATACACATGCTTCAGTAGTTGATCTATCTACACATGCTTCAGTAAATGATCTATCTACACATGCTTCAGTAGTTGATCTATCTACACATGCTTCAGTAGTTGATCTATCTACACATGCTTCAGTAGTTTTTCTATCTACACATGCTTCAGTAGTTTTTCTATCTACACATGCTTCAGTAGTTGATCTATCTACACATGCTTCAGTAGTTTTCTATCTACACATGCTTCAGTAGTTTTCTATCTACACATGCTTCAGTAGTTTTCTATCTCACATGCTTCAGTAGTTTTTCTATCTACACATGCTTCAGTAGTTTTCTATCTACACATGCTTCAGTAGTTTTTCTATCTACACATTCTTCAGTAGTTGATCTATCTACACATGCTTCAGTAGTTTTTTTATCTACACATGCTTCAGTAGTTGATCTATCTACACATGCTTCAGTAGTTTTCTATCTACACATGCTTCAGTAGTTGATCTATCTACACATGCTTCAGTAGTTTTCTATCTACATGCTTCAGTAGTTGATCTATCTACACATGCTTCAGTAGTTTTCTATCTACACATGCTTCAGTAGTTTTTCTATCTACACATGCTTCAGTAGTTGATCTATCTACACATGCTTCAGTAGTTTTTCTATCTACACATGCTTCAGTAGTTGATCTATCTACACATGCTTTAGTAGTTTTTCTATCTACACATGCTTCAGTAGTTGATCTATCTACACATGCTTCAGTAGTTGATCTATCTACACATGCTTCAGTAGTTGATCTATCTGCACATGCTTCAGTAGTTGATCTATCTACACATGCTTCAGTAGTTGATCTATCTACACATGCTTCAGTAGTTTTTCTACACATGCTTCAGTAGTTTTCTATCTACACATGCTTCAGTAGTTTTTCATCTACACTGCTCAGTGTTTTCTTCTACACATTTTTCTATCTACATGCTTCAGTAGTTTTCTATCTACACATGCTTCAGTGTTTTCTATCACATTTTCAGTAATCTACTATTCCAGTTTTTTTATCTACACATGCTTCAGTAGATCTATCTACACATGCTTCAGTAGTTTTTCTATCTACACATGCTTCAGTAGTTGATCTATCTACACATGCTTCAGTATTTTCTATCTACACATGCTTCAGTAGTTGATCTATCTACACATGCTTCAGTAGTTTCTATCTACACATGCTTCAGTAGTTTTCTATCTACACATGCTTCAGTAGTTTTTCTATCTACACATGTTTCAAGAGTTTTTCTATCTACACAAGCTTCAGTAGTTTTTCTATCTACACATGCTTCAGTAGTTTTTCTATCTACACATTCTTCAGTAGTTGATCTATCTACACATGCTTCAGTAGTTTTTTTATCTACACATGCTTCAGTAGTTGATCTATCTACACATGCTTCAGTAGTTTTCTATCTACACATGCTTCAGTAGTTGATCTATCTACACATGCTTCAGTAGTTTTTCTATCTACACATGCTTCAGTAGTTGATCTATCTACACATGCTTCAGTACATCATCCTTTTTTTACAAAAGCATTTTAATAACTTCACATTTTTCATGGCAAAAACGTTATTCGTAAAGCGGTAGAGACCATAGAGAAATGTAAAGTAAATGGCACGCAATCAACGAGTAAATCGAAATAGCGCTCAAACATTTTCGCGTATTCAGTTTGAGCATATCATTGGGGTGACTCACAAACATTCTTCTCTCTATATATATAGCATTTTGAAAACAGAAAGGCTTCTCTAAAAGCTCCGAAACGATATATGACGTAGCTCTTTGACATGCAGGTGCGACTTTTGATTATTTTTATGTTAAAAAGTACAATTGTAAATGCAATAAAATTATGATTAAAATGCTAAAGTTTTTAAGAGTGTTTAAAATACTCCTCTTAAAAAGTTTAGCATAACCGAAAAGTAATATTCAACAACTGATTTTACGTAAATGACTCCCAAAAAATACTATTTTATCAACATAAATTAAAAACTTTCGTTTCAAGCAAAATTTATCAAAGATAGCTAAGATTATTAATTTAGTAGTTTATGGTCTTCTAAAAATTGATGAAAAGTTTCTACGATTACCATTCAATCCTCGTAGCCAAAGAAAAAAACGATAATGTGTTACAGCATGTTGCAAAACAAATACATTTACTAAGTTATGTTTAAATAAACGCATTATAGACTATGATTGGCATTACCATAAGCGTTACGTAGTATATTCAAGAAAAGGCTACCAGCTAGAACAATATACCATATTCTTAGAAACAGTCTAAAAGATATAAGACGTCAAAAAATGACGATCTAAGATTATAAAACTCTAAATTCCTATGTCTGTCTTTTGGAAAGTCACGTGAACTGTCCAGTAAAGTACTTGATTTCAATATTGTTGACACATCTATTTTTTGCAGATAGAATCAAGAGAAAAAAGAAACCTATTTTACATAAGGCAAATAATTAATGTTGTTCAAAAGGAACTTGCTTCATTTTTCATCAAAAAATGGAACTTTCATTACGAATCATCTCATGGAAAATGGGATTATACATACAAAAGTGGCAAAAAATTTTGCACTTTAGAATCAGGAAGAACTATCAAACCAAATGTCCATCAAAAATATCAGGATGGAGACACCAGTAAGTGGGACTGTACGATATTATTTGATGCAATAATTTTTTCAAAATCAATTAAAAAGCATCTTGACAACAAAACAAAGGATGCTGTTGATGCACTTCGTTGTGAAAGAAACAATTACGCACATTGGTATGAAAGGGAATGCTCAGATGATGATTTTGATAAAATAGTCAATATCATTGAAAAATCATTTCAAGATTTGAAATTTTCTCTCGATGAAATCATTGAAATAAAAAATCATCGAAAGTGTTTTAATTCCTTCCAAATTCTTCCTTCAAAACCTAATCATTTTCTCGTTGAACGCACTGAATTACGAGATAAAATTATAAAGATCTTGAAAAATTAAGGAATGATAACAATGATAAACTGACATATTTCTACATCACTGGTAATCCTGGCAGTGGTAAATCACAACTTGCAAGACAGATTTGTCAAAAAATATCGTGTGATTGGAAAAATAGAACTTCGTTTGTAATGACTCTCGATGGAAAAAATGAGGAATCTCTTTTAAAAACTTACTGTGAACTTGGATACCGTTTAAACTGTGACAAGTATATGATTAAAAATTTTAAAGATGAAAATTGTTCCATCGCAGACAAAGTGAAGAATTTGCGATCGTTAGTATCCACACGATTAAAATTCTGGCAAAATTGGTTGATCATTGTAGACAACGTGGCACAGCTCAGAAAAATTTCTTCATTACTTCCCCAAGTAGGTGATCCCATGTGGATAAATGGACAAATCATAGTAACTATCCAGAACACAGATGCCGTACCTCAAGACGATGAGTTAAACAAACATATTTCTATCAGAAGTGGAATGAATGATAGGGAATGTTTTCAACTGTTGAAGCATTACACTATTGAAAATGATGATGATCAATTGTTGAATGAAGTATCCCACGCATTAGATCATCAACCGCTGGCTTTGTCTGCCGCTGGTTGTTACGTTACGTCAGTCGTGTAAACAAAGCAAAATGCTCATTTACTTGGAAACAATATTTAAAGAAAATATCTTCAGAAGAACAAGAAAACATGGACGTCAATTTTGTTAAATTTAACTCGGTATATCCTAGAAGTATGTTACAAGCTTCAGTTTTAGCTGTCAGACAAAATGCTGAAGAATCCTCAATATTGGCAAATGTTATTAACTTTTTTTCCGTGATATCGTTTGATCCTATACCACGAGACATTATTGTTTTTATGTTCAAAAATAGATCCCAAACACTCAAAAGAAGATATATGTCTTTGTTTAAAGGAATGCTCATTGTTCTTGCATTCAGAAAATAATGAAATTAGTCTACATCGCATTGTTCATAAAGCAATTATTGTTTATCAATCTGAACATTCAAATGAAGAACATGAAATGGAAACTAACGTTGATCAAATATCTAAAGCACTTTACATGTTTAAAGAGAGAGACGACGAAATCAAATTAATGCCACATCTTGAAAAAATTGTTCAATTATTAAAGACCAACAAGACAAAAATCAACATGAACACTTTACAAGTTTTCCAATATTTTGTTGACAGATTAAGACATTTTGGAAAATACGATCTTGCTCTTGAACTATTGGATAAATTTAAATCAGAATTTAGTATTGACAAAGCTTGGTATTTTGATATTCTCGGTGTTTTATACTATGTTACCGGGAAGTATAGCAAAGCTAGAAATTATCATGAAAAAGCTCTGGAAATTCGAAAACAATCGTTAGGTCCAAATCATGTTGATGTCGCTACGTCTTTAAACAATCTTGGTAATGTGTATAATGATTTTGGAAACTACGACAAAGCTATAGAGCTTCACGAAAAGCTCTGGAAATTCAAAAACAATCGTTAGGTCCAAATCATGTTGATGTCGCTGCGTCTTTAAACAATCTTGGTACGGTTTTATATAAAACTGGAAACTACGACAAAGCTATAGAGTTTTATGAAAAAGGTCTGGAAATTCAAAAACAATCGTTAGGTCCAAATCATGTTGATGTCGCTACGTCTTTAAACAATCTTGGTTTGGTGTTTTGTGATACTAAAAACTACGACAAAGCTATAGATTGTCACGAAAAAGCTCTGGAAATTCGAAAACAATCGTTAGGTCCAAATCATGTTGATGTCGCTAAGTCTTTAAACAATCTTGGTTTGGTGTTACATGATACTGGAAACTACGACAAAGCTATAGAGTTTTACGAAAAAGCTCTGGAAATTCGAAAACAATCGTTAGGTCCAAATCATGTTGATGTCGCTGGGTCTTTAAACAATCTTGGTAATGTGTATAATGATACTGGAAACTACGACAAAGCTATAAAATTTCATGAAAAAGCTCTGGAAATTCAAAACAATCGTTAGGTCCAAATCATGTTGATGTCGCTGCGTCTTTAAACAATCTTGGTAATGGGTATAAAAATACTGGAAACAATAACAAAGCCATAGAGTTTTACGAAAAAGCTCTGGAAATTAAAAAACAATCGTTAGGTCCAAATCATGTTGATGTCGCTGCGTCTTTAAACAATCTTGGTTTGGTGTTACATGATACTGGAAACTACGACAAAGCTATAGAGTTTTACGAAAAAGCTCTGGAAATCCGAAAACAATCGTTAGGTCCAAATCATGTTGATGTCGCTAGGTCTTTAAACAATCTTGGTACGGTGTTACATGAAACTGGAAACTACGACAAAGCTATAGAGTTTTACGAAAAAGCTCTGGAAATTCGAAAACAATCGTTAGGTCCAAATCATGTTGATGTCGCTACGTCTTTAAACAATCTTGGTTTGGTGTTTTGTGATACTAAAAACTACGACAAAGCTATAGATTGTCACGAAAAAGCTCTGGAAATTCGAAAACAGGGTCCAAATCATGTTGATGTCGCTAAGTCTTTAAACAATCTTGGTTTGCTGTTTTGTGATACTAAAAACTACGACAAAGCTATAGATTGTCACGAAAAAGCTCTGGAAATTTGAAAACAATCGTTAGATCCAAATCATGTTGATGTCGCTAAGTCTTTAAACAATCTTGGTATTGTGCTTCAAAACACTGGAAACTACGACAAAGCTATAGAGTTTCTCGAAAAATGTCTGGAAATTCAAAAACAATCGTTAGGTCCAAATCATGTTGATGTCGCTAAGTCTTTAAACAATCTTGGTTTGCTGTTTTGTGATACTAAAAACTACGACAAAGCTATAGATTGTCACGAAAAAGCTCTGGAAATTCGAAAACAATCGTTAGGTCCAAATCATGTTGATGTCGCTACGTCTTTAAACAATCTTGGTTTGGTGTTTTGTGATACTAAAAACTACGACAAAGCTATAGATTGTCACGAAAAAGCTCTGGAAATTCGAAAACAATCGTTAGGTCCAAATCATGTTGATGTCGCTACGTCTTTAAACAATCTTGGTTTGGTGTTTTGTGATACTAAAAACTACGACAAAGCTATAGAGTTTTACGAAAAAGCTCTGGAAATTCGAAAACAATCGTTAGGTCCAAATCAATTTGATGTCGCTAAGTCTTTAAACAATCTTAGTTATGTGTATTATAATACTGGAAAGTACGACAAAGCTATAGAGTTTTACGAAAAAGCTCTGGAAATTCGAAAACAATCGTTAGGTCCAAATCATGTTGATGTCGCTAAGTCTTTAAACAATCTTAGTATTGTGTATTATAATACTGGAAAGTACGACAAAGCTATAGAGTTTTACGTAAAAGCTCTGGAAATTCAAAAACAATCGTTAGGTCCAAATCATGTTGATGTTGTTTGGTCTTTAAACAGTGTTGGTAATGTGTTAAATAATATTGGAAACTACGACAAAGCTATAGAGTTTTACGAAAAAGCTCTGGAAATTCGAAAACAATCGTTAGGTCCAAATCATGTTGATGTCGCTGCGTCTTTAAACAATCTTGGTAGTGTGTATTATAAAACTGGAAACTACGACAAAGCTATAGAGTTTTACGAAAAGCTCTGGAAATGAAAAACAATCGTTAGGTCCAAATCATGTTGGTGTCGCTGTGTCTTTAAACAATCTTGGTTTGTGTTTTATAAAACTGGAAATTACGACAAAGCTATAGAGTTTCACGAAAAAGCTCTGGAAATTCGAAAACAATCGTTAGGTCCAAATCATGTTGATGTCGCTACGTCTTTAAACAATCTTGGTAATGTGTTTAATAAAACTGGAAACTACGACAAAGCTATAGAGTTTTACGAAAAAGCTCTGGAAATTCGAAAACAATCGTTAGGTCCAAATCATGTTGATGTCGCTCAGTCTTTAAACAATCTTGGTAGTGTGTATTATAAAACTGGAAACTACGACAAAGCTATAGAGTTTCACGAAAAAGCTCTGGAAATTCGAAAACAATCGTTAGGTCCAAATCATGTTTGTGTCGCTACATCTTTAAACAATCTTGGTAATGTGTTTAATAAAACTGGAAACTACGACAAAGCTAAAGAGCTTCACGAAAAAGCTCTGGAAATTCGCAAAAAAAATCGTTAGGAACTAGTCAGGTTGATGTTGCTAAGTCTTTTAAAAATCTAGGTGTGATGTATTATGAAACTCGGGAATATGACAAAGCTTTACACTTACACTTTGGTAGCTACGTGTTTCAAAGAAAATTGTGCTAAGCTTATTTTTAACACATAGACCGTAGGAGCAAGGCTTCCACCTGCCAAGTCAACTCCCCTCCCCCTCAGAAGGTATTTTTGGTACTAAACAAAACAATTTCAGTTTGCATTTTGTTAGGTAAAATGAACCTAAAGATGTAATGGTCCTTGTCTATATATAGTTTCACTGATATCAAGTCAATAAACTTACTCTACAGCCCAGGAATCATCCTAAGTAAAACTTAGACCTGCCCATGCCCTGAATCTGACATTTTTTAGACTTTATTTCTAAAGTGATTTGTTTTTATGTTATAACCAAGTAGTAATTTTTATTGTATGATTTACAAACATACTAAAGTATATTGGGATGACAGAATTTTGTTAAATAAATACTATCCTGTTAGTTGTTCATATTCTTTGATACATTCAGTAATTTTTTACCAAGCTCCATAAGCCTATGACCATATTCCAGGTTCTTATAATTTACAAGGCGTACACCATTCATACCATACATACCACCCCACCATGCCGCAGCCAATATTCCTGTGCTGTCACTATCTCCACCATGAAACATAGAACAAGAGCACAATTGAAACCAGGAATCTACCAACCTTCTGAATGTATTCCCAAACTTTGGGTAAAACACTTAAAAGTCCTGCTCCCCATTTTTTTGGAGCCATCTTCTGTATAGCATAGGCTGTAAATAAAGCTGCAGTAACAGCCCCAAGATAACCTATAATTAAAATCATTATCTTTAAAGGTTGCTAATTTTAGGTCAATTACATTATGATGACCATATTTACATAATAGCGGCATTTTGATATGGATCATGGATTCAATGGCTGTAGTAGTGAAGATATTAAAGCAAAACAGCAATGGCAATTCAAACAGTTTTTAGAAGACAGAAATTTGGAAATGTGGAAAAGCGATAAAAGGGATGGATCAAAGATATGGTCATTTAAAGTGAGCAATGTTAGAAAGACAGAGGCATTTGAGATGTGGTTCTAGAAAATGATGGATTGCATAGACTTATGCAAACCTAAAGTCAACCTTCTTTTATTTCATTTATAAATTGATATTTGATAAAAGGAAGTGAAACATTCATGGTAATGGCTTGATCAAGTAAGTAATCAAAGGAAGACTTGAAGATAAAACATCTAAGAAAAGCAAAAAGATTGAAAAGCTAAATTACTATAAGGTTTGTTAAAATGAAAAGCAATGCAGATAACAGGAAAACCTAGCAAACTTTATACAAAGCAACACTTGTTGATAGACAAAACACTAGACATTAGTGACTTGATAATTGATACATGATCTGAAATCGTTGCTTTATTATGAAAGGTGAATACCTGTGGGGTGATTATGAGTCATCCTTCCACTTTCAACAGCAATTTCAATTAACATTTCAATTTGATCTTCACAAGGAAACATCAAACCTATACACATGGATCTCATAGCTGCACCACATCCGCCACCTCGTTCATTAAATGGTATAATGTAACCTTTTTTCTCAAGAGGTTGTGACATGAAACATGCCTTCGTTGTGGTCTGTCCAGGAGCTCTTTCCCACATATCCTCAGCACATGTCTTCTTGTACTTTGTAGCCATAATGCTTAATAACTCTTCCTTTGTTGTCCATTCAGAATCCAACGCTTCTGCTGTAGCAATGTGTAGTACAGTGTCGTCACTAACCCTCCATCCTTTAATGTCAATTTTATCAAGTCCTCCGAGTTTTTCTAGTTCTTCATGAATTTGAGTACCACTGTAACAGAATTCCCACAAACCATTTTTATAACCTAGTGCATCCCCCACTCCACTGATAACCATAACTGCTTCGTACTTCTCGGATAATTGGACCGTATTTTCAAGAGCCATTTTTAATATGCTTGATTCACCGTAGTTTAATGAATTTTTTTGAAAGACGGGGAAAGTACTAAGCTTCCCTCAACTTAGTCAACTAATAAAAACGTAAAATCTTTTCTTTGCTTTGTTTCAATATTGTTTCATACTATTGTTTAGATTTACTCGAGAGCGTAAATCTATTTTGTAATCCTTAATCTTTACCTTATTCCATGATCTTCAATCTGATTAACATGTTGCTTCTTGAAAGATTCTTTAAAATTTAAAAGTTCCTTCCTTATATCATGGATTATCCGACACGGATTTAATCCAAACTTGACAATTTGATTGCACATACAACAATTTGTACAAACTTCACAAAATTTAAGCTCTTGGTGAATCCTTAGGTTTTATAATTTTATGGCACCTCCCATTGTTATAAATATGTCACTAAAATTTCATTTTGTTACTGCATTAAGATTATTTCTCCCTTAACCCATAATATACACAATAAAATCACAACAGAAAATTGAATTGTGCATCAAAATTTATTGATTGATTTACAAAGTCTCGTAAGAATTATATATTCCACATGACAGCTTTCACATGAAGAAAGACCTAAATGAACGTAAAAATTAAACATAAAATGATAAACAACTGGACAGAGGGTTACCCTTTATGTATAAGTGATAATGAAGAGAGAATCTGACAAAATATGGCCTAATTTGGGCATGCAAGGGTGGGAGGGGGGTCGAAGGAGTGAAATCTATGAACTTAAGCAAATGAAGACACGGGATTGTTTAATGTACCAATAGATATGAGAGTGTGGATGGCTCAATATTCACGCTGTGATTGACAGAAGTTTCTCACCCCAGTCCTAATCCTCATCTTCATCTTCACAACCAGATCCACACCTTGACCTCCTTTCTTCATGTTCTTACGTTTTACACGGCCAGGTCGACCACCACCACCATATGGTGATTTAGAACTAAAATGAATGTATTACTACAAATCCAAACGTACTATATAGGAAGGTACGTTGACTAACTCTTTACGAACCCTGAAATCAAAGAATTGACAATTGAAATGTGTTGAGCCTTTGGTCAACATGATTAAAAGAATTCCATCTATTAAAATGATTTTTAACTCATCAAAACTTCAATTCAACCATATATGACGCTGGAAAATAAGAACTCTAGCATGATGGATAGATTTTGCCAGACCCAATTTGAAAACTTGATTTCGAAGACGTCGCTCCAAGAAGTCTTCAATACGAAGGCCTAAAACATAATCGAGCTTCATGCGGCTTTCATCCAAAACCCCGATACGTACAAGACGACGTAGCAATGCGTTGCCTTCGAACAAACGACGCGGGTCTTTTTCGTCTAGAGTCAGCAACTCTCGAGCAGCTTTGCGAATCTTAGCCAAAGTGTACTTAACACGCCATACTTCGCGCTTATTTCTTAACACATACTCCCAAATTATCTTCAATTCTTGATTCAAGCGCTCTTTCTCAAAAGGACGACGAGGAGTCGTGAAAGTCTTCGAACAAACTGGTTTAGGCATCTTGACCACTTCAAGATGGCGTCGAAAAAAGAAAGAAGGAAGTAAAAGACACGTGCTAATACCAGCGTGCACCGCGGGTACGCGATTGTTTATTGGGAAATTTTACTGAAGAAATGTAAAATAAGAAAACGAAAGCGCTCTAAAATGAGTTAACAAATGGCGACTTTCGTTGGAGCGATGAAAGCGCATTTGAAATTGCCATCTATATATTTTCTAACAACGTCATTTTTCAAAGCAACTAAGCACATGTTGATTTGTAATTGTAAAAGGTAACTTATTGGGTTGCTATAGTTCCTTAAATGCAGATTTTATATGTGTAGGCAAGATGTCGACAAGTTACAAATGTGCAACTGTTGTACTGCTTATGCAATCTTTTGAATTCTTGTGGATCTTTTGGACTCGCTAGATTACCAGACTCAACATTCAACTAATTTTTCTTTTTCAGAACTGTTTCTCCACTCATGCATCTACACATTTATAAAAAGCATTAATCTTCATCATCAAGTGAAGAAATTTCAAAAGATGAACCAATAGCATTTTCAAAGTCTGCTGCGAAAAATCATACAGTAAATGACACTTTATACTATGAGAGTGGTCGACGAAGCTCTTTACAGGATTGGTGATAACATTTGGCATGCTTTTTTGCATTATATATTTTGGATTTTTACGCCAGGAAAGTGAAACTGAACAGAAAATTTTTAATAAGATTCTTGAACTACAGAAATCAAATGCATCTGAAGAATCAGAGAATGATCTTGTTGAAAATAATACTTAGGAATTGTTCTAAATGTGGTTACGTTTGGATAATAAATAATACAGATGGACTTGAACTTAAACTTTTTACAAAATGTATCCTATCATGTACCTATACCCAAGAATATTTTTAAAAAATCCAACATTGTTGTTTTTCAAGGAATTTTCATAATTCCGATATTAAATAACAATAATTGTAAAGTGGAACCATATCCATTCATGGACACTTTTATTACCTCTTAATCAAGACTGTTTTTTAAAATGCAGATGTAAATTTCTTTAAATATATTTATTTGCATTCCTGCATTAAAAAATAGCCTTAAGCCTTCTTTCCAGTGTGCGAATTAACGGTGTGCAATGTGCAATTTACACATCGTTTTGACTAAAATGAAAACAATTGCACATCACTTTTTCAAACGATGTGCAAAAATCAGCGGTTTTAACGAAAAACACTATCGTAAATCATATGAATTTGTTCACGTTTAAAAATATTAATTTAGCAATTAGCGCTATGTAATAATTATCGTAATATCGATTTGATTATGCCTGTAAAGAAACACTTTTGTCTAAAAAATTGCACATCGTTTTTTCTGAACTAATTCGCACACTGCTTCTTTCCACTAGCCACGTATCGTAACGTATCGTAGCAAAACGTAACATGGCGCATGCGTGCTTGTGAATTTGATGGCTAATACGCACAATCACGCACGCGCCAAGTTACGTTTTGCTACGATACGTTACGATACGTGGCTAGTGGAAAACAGGCTTTACCATGGAATATACTGAGCACCAGGAATTGTTGTGGCTATTGCCCGAATTATATTAGAGATTTGACCTGTTAACAGGCCTAACGAAATAAAAGGTTTATTATTATTACACTTACGGTTTTCGACGAATCCTTTGCAGTTCGACGACAGACTACGATGAATGACAAATCTCATGCCAATTGTGAAGATGAAACGATAGGATGTTGAGCAAGGACAGCCACAAAAAAGCCGAAAATATCTTTTTGAAAAATTCAGAACGTTGATGGTGAAACCATCGTATCCAATTTTCAGGCTACCTGACAAACATCACCGCTTTTATGTCGACGACGGCAAGCACAGAAACAAGATTGGCCATTTCTTGCAACTGTGTATGTCGTCTACGGCATTAAATTGGAAATATCGACAGTCAGTCGGAAAATTAGGATTTTTAGGTTTTTTATTTTCATGTTAAAGAAATTCCATGTTTTTATTACGAAAATTTCCAATTAAATAATGTTGAAATTTGGGCATTTGATAGCGGCGTGGTTTTCTCCATCATTGCGATTGATTGACCAGTCGTGATGTTAGCAGGAAAACTCCCAGGAAAATGTTTTAGAAAAGGTCATAATATTGACTTGTCCATGGAAACAGGCGTTAGGCTGATGGATGCATTGCTCCAGAAGAGTGTTTAGCGTTTGCATTCTTTGTAGAGATGGTCTTTAGGGCATTAGAAGTCACATATTTTTCAATTTCATCAAAGTATACTGTCCATTCTTTATCATTGTTCAGAAGAGTTCATTAAAGTATATTGTTCATTCTTGATCATTGTTCAGAGGTCTTCTTTAAAGTAAATTTTTATTCTTGAGCATTCTTCGGAGGACTTTATTAAAGTATGCTGTTCATTCTTGATCATTGTTCAGAGGATTTCATTAAAGTACGTCTATTGTCCATTCTTGATCAGAAGGTTTCTACATAGGACAATTGAAGCCAATGTCAGTTCACACTATACTTCCATAAATGAAAAACATTGATAACATACTTACATTGAGCATTTTATTCACTAGTAATGTAGTTCAAGGGAAGAAGAATTTCTACCAAATTACAGAATTGTATTTTGTTCTTACGTTTAGATGAGCGTCGAGGAACTGGTCGACAACAGCCACAATTCTCTTCAACCGCTGTGAACAAGAACTACGCTCTTTAATTGTGGAGTCTACGATCAAGGTGAATACACCAACATTTGTTCGTTGTTTCTCAATCTCATTTGATGACTTATTTTGTCGTTTAAGAGAAGAATGTCCATGTCTAAAATCAAGCATAGAGGAAACAAAAGTTACTACGACGGAAACTTTATGGGAAGGCCACACTGCACTTTGCATTAATGAGCATCACATGCAGTGTCACAATTCAATGTTTACTTAATGCCAAAGAACTTGAAACAACACATTTACCTGAACATTTTTTCAAAGCACTCTAAGAGATATATGACCGTGGAATAATTTCGACTTCGGCTAACTATTCTTCGTGCAACTACAGACTTTCACGTTCAAATGGCACGTTCTTAGTCTTAGACTATGGCCCAAGTTTCACGAACGTGTTGTGTTCTGATTGTTCATTTACTAGGTGTATCGTGCCTGCGCCAAGCAATAAAATATAAATATTAAAGCATCCTGAAACGAAAACTACATAAATCAGATTTAAGAAATAGAATTTCCAGTTGTAAGTCCGGACGCCTTTTGGAAGTTTACCTGTCATAGTGTCATTATTTTTTCTTATGTCTAGAATTTTGTTATATTTGCCATAAAAAACCTAAATGTCATTTTCGTGGTGGAATTTGCACTTTATATGTTTTACATTGATAAATCTGTTGATTTTCGTGGGATTTTCGCAATAACACATTAGATAATTTATCATTTTAAAATAATGACCTTTCTTGCATTTTCACCAACAATTAATTTCATTAGTCTTTTCAAATATCATTGGTACGGCAGGGCTAATAAATCAGCAAGATGAATCAAAATTATGACATGTCACAGAATTCAGTTTTGCATATCATTATATGCGATAATTTTAATTTTATCTCACATGGCTTTTTTTCCTCATTCACACAGTCATCTATCTTTTTATCTTATTCTTATCACAGATAATGACATGAAAATGTTTTGCTTCGTATGTCTTTAGAAATTGCGCCTACTTGGAGTGAAAAGCTTACTTCTTCACGTGATAGTACACGTGATTTTTTCTGGTCCATAATTCTTCAACTTGTTGTAGGATAGACTATTTAAAATATTTGTTTGCGTCAAAAGTTCACAAAATGACAAAACTTTGCATGATGAACTGTCAAGTCCAAACGCCATCAATTTTGAAGTATCTCTGATTACTGAGATGTGGCAAAATTAATCAAAATTAGAGACTTCCAGATTAATTTCTCTGAAAATCCCTTTTCAATTAAAGACTTCCCTAAAATCTTAAGTCATCAAACTTTTACTTGCCTCTCACGCCCCTTATCAAATTAATTGTTTATCGTGATAAAAAGTTCACAAAATGACAAAACTTCATTGACCACGTTTCAAAGTTGGAACGCTGACAATTTCTGAGAAGCTCTGTTTATGGATTTTCTTAATTTATTTGAAAATTTGTTGTTTATAATCTTAATTTTGTTGAGCTATCTTATTGGTATAAATGGTATTATACATTTTGCCTGGCTGCCTCGTCTTTGCGTTTAATGATAATTTAGTTTTCCAGAACATTTCAACACAGTAGAAAGAAAAGGGCTGTCTTAGCTATGGAGCTAAAATATTGACCCCAGAACTGCCGCCCATTTTGGAGCCAATTTTTACCCTTTAAAGAGTGGCCAAATTTGGCCCCGTTTATTTTGCCAATTTTACCTCCAAAACGTAGATGAGACAGCCCCAGGTAAGAGGACCAATTTAGCCGCATAGCGAGCTATTTTTCCCTTGTTGTGTGAAATTCAGCTCTAAACAGAATAGGCAATTTAGCCCCAATATTTCATCAAGTCGGCCATGGTTAAAAAGCCGTACCGTGCCCAGAAAAAAAGTGGAACTACCTAAAGTTTGCAATTAACAAGTCTTGTACAATATATACATGCACATAAATGTTTAACATCTTCATTAAAACCCCTTAAACAAATAAACTTCACGAAATATAGAATTGAAATAAAACATGTTCGAATATAGCATAAGTTGGAGAAATTTGATAAAACGTACTTTATTATTATAGAATATAAGATTGCTAGTTGAATTTTCAAGCATGCATTAGCTAGTTCTTGTGGAAACGACCGCATGTAGTGCTCCTGTCATTATGAATAATTTATGTATGTAAAAGTTTTATCGTGACTTGACATTCATCACTTGCAGACTGTTTATGTTTTATAAGATATGCTAATTCTATATGTCAAGGAAATGCTAAATACAAATGAGAGGAATTAATTTCTGAGAGTTTAGACCAAATGGGTGAACTACAAATGTAAAAGCAGCTGTCCATTTACTGAAATCCACTGTTTTTAATTAAAAATTTTTAGTAGCAACAGTTGGTAGTAGCATAGCTAATTATTTGCCCACCAATAAGATTCGTTCAATTTTATCAACATTCCTTCTATCTTAGCAACCTGCAGTGTTTGACTGCGACTCTACGTCTGCTATGATAAACAGATGGCATCATTTTTCTCAAGACTTTTTAAGGTATATTGACAAATTTCTGATTTGAACAAGCTCTTCACTCCTCTCGACACAGGTACGTCTGATATACAGGAATTTTGCCATATATTAATAGAGACGTTTGTTCAAAGAAGAAATTTTTTTAATTGTTTGGTTTCTGATGTCTGATAAAATGACTAACAAAGCGTTCAAAAATATAATGGCGATATTGCCAAAGTGATTCTTGTTGCTCTTAATGATAGCTACTAAGTTCGTCTATTCTCACAGGATAAGATTCGTACCGTTTTAAATGTCACTATTTTCAGACTGCGGATTTCTAGAGAAAAACTGCAGTGATGTGAGTCATAACAGGTCCCTGTTAGTGTTATATATTTTCTATTAACCGAAACTGGTATTTAACCCTCTAAGGGCCATATGTAGTGAAATGCATCATAATATAATTACGCCATGCGGTCTGTTTTAAAAAACTCAAGATTGACAAACATTTAACAGGACACACATAATGTGTTTAGCATTACATAATTTCGGAGAGCTTAGATAAAATGGGTGAACTACAAATGTAAAAACAGCTGTCCATTTACTGAAATCCACTGTTTTTAATTAAAAATTTTTCTTGTATGGTAGCAACAGTTGCTAGTAGCATAACTAATTATTTGCCAGCCAATAAGATTCGTTTAATTTCATCAACATTCCTTCTATCTTAGCAACCTGCAGTGTTTGACTGCGACTCTACGTCTGCTATGATAAGGAGCTTCACAAATTCTAAAAGCAATCACTTTGAAACAGATAGCATCACTTTTCTCAAGACTTTTTACGGTATATCGAAAAATTTCTGATTTGAACAAGTTCTTCACTCCTCTCGACACAGGTACGTCTGATTTACAGGAATTTTGCCATATATAAGTGGAGACGTTTGTTCAAAGAACAAAATTTTTTTAATTGTTTGGTTTCTGATGTCTGATAAAATGACTAACAAAGCGTTCAAAAATATATTTGCGATATTGCCAAAGTGATTCTTGTTGCTCTTATGATAGCTACTAAGTTCGTCTATTCACACAGGATAAGATTCCTACCGTTTTAAATGTCACTATTTTCAGACATGGGATTTCTAGAGAAGAACTGCTGTGATGTGAGTCATAACAGGTCCCTGTTAGTGTTAAATATTTTTTACTAACCGAAACTTGTACTTAATCCTCTAAGGGCCATATGTAGTAAAATGCATCATAATATAACTACTCCATGCGGTCTGTTTTAAAGAACTCGAGATTGACGAATTTTTAGGTGGACACACATAATGTGTGTAGATCCGTTATTTGTATCTATCACGTTGTAGTTAGGACGGATTATGGCAAGTTCTTCTTTTAAGTCGATGACCCTTTTTATCCTAGGTTCCTTCTGTGTCAATTTCTAGTAAAATTGACTGCACATCATGTGTAAGAACTTATGTGGGTACACTTGTGTTTAACTAAAGTTTATGCCCAACGGAACAATATCTTTTTAAGCAAACAAGTGCGTCAACGAACTCCCTAATTTATCTCTCAGGGTCATCATAGTTGTAGTCAATATTTCGCGTTTTTCTCTCAAAACAGCCTTTTAATTGTAGAAATGCTAAATGCTTAACATACTGTATTTCATGAAGTTTTTTTAAAAACATACGAATTTCTTCATACTTAAATACTTTATAGAAATTAAAGAAGATAAGTCTTTCAAGGGAGAATTCTTTGCGCAACTAGTCGGAATCAGTGAACTTTATAATAAATTGGTAAAAATGAAATAAAAAAGTTCTGAATCCACCGAATTGAATGGTTTGACGCCATTTTAAATTTGATAGTTGGGCGGCATACTGTATATTGTCTCGTATATTTCACTTCCCCCGTGGAGTTTGTTTATTGCCGTAGAGTTTTGTTTATTGCCGTGGAGTTTTGTTTATTGCCGTGGAGTTTTGTTTATTGCCGTGGAGTTTTGTTTCTTGCCGTGGAGTTTGTTTATTGCCGTGGAGTTTTGTTTAATGCCGTGGAGTTTTGTTTATTGCCGTGGAGTTTTGCTTATTGCCGTGGAGTTTTGTTTATTGCCGTGAAGTTTTGTTTATTGCCGTGGAGTTTTGTTTATTGCCGTGGAGTTTTGCTTATTGCCGTGGAGTTTTGTTTATTGCCGTGGAGTTTTGCTTATTGCCGTGGAGTTTTGTTTATTGCCGTGAAGTTTTGTTTATTGCCGTGGAGTTTTGTTTATTGCCGTGGAGTTTTGTTTATTGCCGTGGAGTTTTGTTTAATGCCGTGGAGTTTTGTTTATTGCCGTGGAGTTTTGTTTATTGCCGTGGAGTTTTGTTTAATGCCGTGGAGTTTTGTTTATTGCCGTGGAGTTTTGTTTATTGCCGTGGAGTTTTGTTTATTGCCGTGGAGTTTTGTTTATTGCCGTGGAGTTTGTTTATTGCCGTGGAGTTTTGTTTATTGCCGTGGAGTTTTGTTTATTGCCGTGGAGTTTTGTTTATTGCCGTGACACTTGTGAGCCACCATACAGAGAAGCTCTGTTTATCGATTTACTTTACTTCCTAAATCATAAATCTTTATTTTTGAGCTATCTTACTTGTAAAAGGCTGGCTTGCATTTCATATTCTATTGGGTATGAACAGAATTCAATATTTTACAATAAAAACAGCAGGTGATTAAAATTGAACATTTAGTGAACATTCCAATTTCTTTATTATCAAGCAGAAGCAAAGACATTACGTAGTTGGTTGTGTCGTCTTTAATCTTTCGAAATTTGTTAAGGTATGTTGATTGAATAGTTTACCTATCATAGTGTCATTATTTTTTCTTATGTCTAGAATTTTGTTATATTTGTCATAAAAAACCTGAATGTCATTTTCGTGGTGGAATTCGCACTTCATATGTTTTATATTGATACACTTGTTGACTTTGGTGGGATTTTCCCAATAACACATTGCATAATTTATCATTTCAAAATACTGACCTTTCTTGCACTATCACCAACAATTAATTTCATTACTTTTTTTAAATATCATTGGTACGGCAGGGCTAGAAAGTCAACAAGATGAATCAAAGTTATGACACGTCACGGAATTTCACTTATGCATATCATTATGTGCAATAATTTTAATTTCATCTAACACGACTTTTCTCAAGAAAAATTTTTTTCCTCAATAATATAGTCATCTATCTATTTATCGGATTCCTAACACAGATCATGACATGAAAACGTTTTACTAGGTATGTCTTTAGATATTGCGCCTACTTGGAGTGAAAAGCTCATTTCTTCACGTGATAGTACACGTGATTTTTTTCTGGTCTATAATTGTTCAACTTGTTGTAAGATAGACTATTTAAAATATTTCTTTGCGTCAAAAGTTCACAAAATAACAATACTTTGCATGATGAAGTGTCAAGTCCAAACGCTATTAATTTTCCATTACTGAGATGTGAGAAAATTATTCCAAATTAAAGACTTCGAGATTAATTACTTTGATATTCCCTTCTTAAATGAAGATTGTCCCTAAAATCTTGAGCCTCCACAGGCTTTTATCATAACGTGTACAACATTTTATACAATATAGGACCAGAATTTTACATCGAAAGAGAGTATGAAGTTTATTATCTAGATGTTTATATTTTGCAAATTTTGCGTAAGATATCTATGGAACAATTAGTTGCTACAGATTTGCATGATCACTATTTTTGTGTCCTTTCTGTGTCTTTGTTGAAAGGCATTTTTGATATGACTAACAATTGTTGACTTTTATGGGGTTTTTTTAACAATCACAAATAAATTTTAGATAATTTAACGTTGGAAAACACTAAACTTTCGAGCATCATCGCTAGCAATACATTCAAATACTTCATTTCAAATATTATTCTAAAAAATCAACAAAATGTGTCAAAATAATGACACATCACAGAATTTCAGTTATGCATATCATTATACGGAATGATTTTAATTTTTCTGACATGACTATCTGCAAGAAGAACAACATTTTTTTATTTCTTATTGAATTCTCTTGCTGAAAATCTTATGCATGATCAACTAAAAACAATTATCTTTGATGCATTTTAATTGATGTCAACATAAAATTCATTAATATTGACACAAAATTAGGAAATTCAACGAGACTTACCTGAAGTTGAAGTTCGATTGGGATTCTATTAGCATCTGTAGAGCAGAGATTACACGAGATACTACGCATGCGCACATTGGTCATATTTCAAAGATAGTGGACTTATGAGCCGCCTAAATGTGCATATGAACGATATGCAGGGAGGCAGTAACATGATGGTGGGCGTGTAATCTCTGCTTGTAGATGCTAATAGAATCCCAATCGAACTTCAACTTCAGGTAAGTCTCGTTCAATTCTAATTCTATTAGCATCTACCGCAGAGATTGCACGAGATTTGAAAGTCATGTCTACAATTTATGCCTACACGCAAATACGACATTAAGTTATAAACATATTTTAATAGGAGATGTATCAAACATACCCAGAAATAGTAACAAATATGAATTCAAAGTATTTCCTTCTCTGCACTATACATGCAAGTATACGTGTTCTGAACTACCTGCCAAGTTCAACTAAAGAGAATTCTCATCCAATATCTTTCTTATTGAGACGCTGAAAGAATGGCATTCTCAAACTCCGCATTGTCACGTTGAGACACAACGTTCTTATTGTAAAGCCGATGAAAAACGCAATCAGTCTTCCAACTTGCATTTTTCAGTATAGAGTTCATCGAAACATCACATTGCTTCGCTTTACTGGTGGCTGCGGCTCGTGTACTATGTGGTTTGAACGTTTCTATATCAATTCCTGCAGCTTGCATGACAACCTTTATCCAACGAGATAGATGACTTTGATACTTTATAAAGGGTCGAATTTTGCTAAGAAATAGTTGATTTTTCTGACCCCGAATGGGAGCAGTGCGTTAATATATTCTTCCATGACTGAGGCAACACATAGTCGGTGATCGGCAGGGAACTTTGGTATCACTAAAGTAGGTTGAATGCGTGTTTGTCCAGACTGTTTCACAAGTTGGTCGATATAGAAGGTGTATGAGTCCTCTTCCTTCTTTACAGTTAAGAGGTTTATGAGGTGGAGTGATTAGCACGCTGCCTGTGACTAATGCACAGAGCATTACCAACTTATGAGTAAGCTGTTGTAATGTTAAGTCTTCTACTGCAGGATGTGTCTTTATATACTATAAAACAATGGAGGTGTTCCAGGTCACTTGATATCTTGGTAGTGCGGGTCTACATTGAAACACTCCTTCATAAATCTCTGAACCATATAATGTGTACCAATCGTAGAATTCCCTTCAGTAATAACGAATAAAGATAACATACTTCGAACAGTGTTTATGCAACTGTAACTCATCCCTTGATCAAATAGGTGCTGTAGAAAGTCTAGAACTACTTGTAAAGTTGGATAAAGGGAATCTGCATTCCGTTCATCAACATAGAGCTGCCATTTGTTAAGGTAACTGGATATTGTTTTTGTGTTCCTGGCCGCCAGGAATTAAGTATTGTTGCTTGAGCCTGTGGTGAAATGCCCTTACTTAAGAGTGATCTCCTGATAAGAGACCAGCTATCAGTCTCAGACTCCCTTCGAGTAGATGTTCTTTTGTTTTATTGGATGGTAAGCTCATGCTTCTTTTGTTTTTGGATAGGAGAATGAGTCGGTGAATCATTAATCTTGCCAGTATCGGATACCAGGATTGAGTTGGCCAATTCGGCACGATGAGAATTGTCCGTGCCTGGGCCATTTTTTCTTTTTATAAAACTTGTGGTATAACACTAAAATTTGGAAAAGCATAAAGAAACAATTTACTCCAATCAATGCAAAAAGCGTCAAAAGCCCACGCCTGTGGATCTGGGTGCCACGAGACATAGGGTTTAAGTTGATAGTTTAGTCTAGAAGCAAACATGTCAACTTCTGGGTTCTCAAAATGTGCTGTTATTTCAAGAAATGATTCAGCATCAACCTTCCATTCTTTGGAATCATCAAATGTTCTGGAAGCTTTGTCAGCCACCACATTAAGTTTCCCAGCGATATAGCTGACAGTTTGCCATATGTCCCTGATTCTGCACCACGCCCATATTTCTCTTGCAATTTTATCGCAATGGTGAGAGTGGCGCCCCATGTGGTAATATATGCAAGGGCAGTGTTATTGTCAGTCATTACTTCAATGCGGGTGTGGACTAGACAATTAATGAGCAACTAATTCCAGACAAGTAATGTGCGAGTCTTTTCAGCGATTGTCCATTCGCCTCCGGTGGACTGTTTTTAATACTTGCGCCCCATCCTTGGTAGAAACGTCCGTATACAATACGTGGTCAATCTTGCCGTGATTCAGATGTTTTTTTGGACTCATGTGCATTATTAATCCACCAAGATACTTCCTCCGGCGCCGAAGGAGAGAGTTTCAATGTCGCATCAAAGTTACCCCTGTTAGACTTAAGAGTTGTTGTTTTGTCCCTATCAAGATCACGATAAAACAGTGGGCCATATTGAACGCCAGGGAAACAAGCTACCATCATACCAATTAGCTTGGCCGCTTTCCGTAGGCTAGGAGATTCAAATTTTAGCAGCCCCCTGGCATCCTCGCATAATTTGTTGTGTTTCTCTATGGATATAATGATAGTCATATCTGTTGAACACAAACCCTAAATGTTGTGAGATCTGTGTGGGTTCTGTAACAGATTTATCTTTACGGGGTAGGAATCCTAACTTCTGAAACAATTGTAGAGTGTCATGTACGTTTTGCTCGCATTCTGAACATGAGTAGCCTATTAAAAACGAGTCATCAATGTAACCGCTAGAAATGTGCCCAAGCTCCCTCAGCTTAGAATATACAGGCTTGAGTATCTTTGTAAATAAACGTGGAGCGGAAGATAATCCTTGAGCAAGGCACGTGAATCGGTACAGATTATCTTTCCACACAACTTTTAAATATTTTTAATGCTCTATGTGTGTTGGTATTGAGTAATAGGCATCTCTAAGGTCAACGGATGCCATGTTGCACCAAGGTCGCATGAGCACAAGTATGGATGAATTCCACTTTAAGGTGGTGATATGTTACAAATGTGTTGAGCTCTTTTAGGTTTAATATCATTCTAAAAGTTCCATCTTTCTTTCTCTAAGAAAGATATTGGAGATACACTCGCCCTGTTCATGCATGCTTGTAACAATGATACCTTTCTCTGGAAATTTTGTAACTTGACGATCGACATTTTGGACTTCCGAAGGAGACATTTTTATAGAGTAAGGTTGTTTCAGCTGGATTGGGTCTATAAGAAAATCAATCTTGTATCCGCTTACAGCTGATAAAATGGAACGATCACGAGTTAGCTCCCTTCACTTCCCAATAAATTGCTGTATCCGGCCTGCAGCTATACTACAATCATTGTCTCCCCCAGACATGATAGAAGTACTACACTCGTGTTTAATAGAACGTACACGATCAAGAGTAGGAGTCACTGCTTTCTTAGTGTTTCTCCCCTTGTCTCGACTTTCCTCTTGGGTTGGTTTTTATAATAGTTGCGTCGTTGGGGTCGGGTTTACAAATATCCGCCCCGACGTTGGAAAAAAAAGGTACATTGGAATTATATGAGCTGGTCGACCGTTGATCGTTGCGTTTCCGTTTTTGGCTTGTCGGTTGCTTTGCAGCTTTTTTGCTTTCTTTTACTGTTTTCAGGCCTTTTCTTTAAGTCATCACCAAACATTTCTGCAGCAACAGGTTCCTTGTTACTACAGATTGCCTTGTAATTTTGATCATGGTCATGTTCCTGAAGAACATGTTCAGATCATGATTAGCTGAAGCGAGAAGCACAATAGTTGTAAACAGCCCATCCCAGATAACCTCTGGTGCCGGTGCATGTGTTGTAGGGTTTGTTCCAATAGAGGTACTAATCGTTCCCGAAATTCGGGAAATCGGATTGAGGCCATTTATTAAGGGGGTTCTTGCATGTAATTTTTGTAGACGTGCATCCATGCTACGTGTGGATTTCCTAGCAATGTCCCAAAATTCTGCGTTCACCTTTGTAACTCTTAACTGGTCACAGTTTTCGGGTCGTTTCATCCCTTCCTTCCGTTTTCATACTGTCCAATGGACAAAATGCTGGTCAAGATTTTAGAAAAGTATGTTGCCAATGGTTGGTCAGTCGGCTTATTCTCATTCACTTCGTGAATCAGTTCATCTACCAAAGCATCACTTTGGGTTGCTAGAGCTAGAGCTCTATCTTCAACTACAGCTGCAGCCCCACTGGCTGAGTGTTCATCATCAGTTTCACTTTCATACATATCAACATCATCGTTCATTTGGCGTGCAGCATCATAAGCC